GATTGTTCACTCATTGTTTGTTGTCATTAAATTCTCTGTTGGATTTCGAACCTGTATGCGTCTCTGATATTTTCCTCTGTTCTTGACAGATGGCATCATATGTCTATTATGCATTCAAACTTAAAGACAGTTAGGCAGCTCGATTCATGATGTTTTGCGTGCTTTAAATCTGTAATGCTCTACAGGGTCCATGTCATGTTTACACCGAATACCAAATATAGTAAATAGAAAAGTTCAGTTCAATCCTTCCATTACAAACAAACAAAAAACCACTAAACACTAAACGGGTTCTGTCACCTGTCTTTTTTGTGTAATTTTCCAATAAATATGTGTAATTGTATTGGAGAATGTTTGCTTAAAAGGCATTTTTTTGTGAAATCCACCTGCCAATTATTGCAGATGGCCTGTTACAGTTGTGTCAGAATGAATATCAGCCTTATGGATCAAGTCTAGAGGATGTTTTACTCTGTGTAATCAGTTGACATGACTGTCACTGATAGGCTGAATGAATCTACAGTCTGTGCTAGAAAGAATTCAGCCCATCTCGCTTCTTCATACTCATACTTAACCCTGCTAGCTCATTTATACCAGTTGCTCATGAAAAGCAGCCTCGTCTCATAATTAGCAATTCATAAGAATTCACCCAACCTGACATGTATGACGGGTTAAGGAGAACTTGATAGGCTGGAATTGTTGTTTTAGCTTTTCCATATCTTGTTATAATTATTGGCAATAGAGCAAGAGGTGTCAAGAGAGAAAGTAATGCAGATAGACAGAGAGAGAGAGAGAGAGAGAGAGAGAGAGAGAGAGAGAGAGAGAGAAGAATGAGGCATGAAGTAAGCGAGAGAGTGAACGAGTGGTGAGATAATTAGAAAACACACCTGTAGGCAGCATGGACTCAGTCCTGGTGAAGCCTCTATTGCAGATAGTGTGTGTGTCAGTCTACAAATAAGGATAGCAGCACAGTGAGAACTTCATTAGAGAAGATGAATCACCTTTATGTTTATCACTGTGCAAACACACCCACACAAAAACTTGAATTTGTCTGTGTGTGTGTGTGTGTGTGTGTGTGTGTGTGTGTGTGTGCATGTGAGTGCTGTAATGCCTTGTATCCAATCAGATTAGTATTGCCATTACAGATTAGTAACAGATATATACTTCTCCTCAAATGTGTCCTGTAATAAAACCACAAACATCATTTGTCTTTGTGTACCAGCACACCCTTAAGCAAACCTTTTCCCCCCTGCTCATCCATTCCTTTAACAAGACAAAGTATGTGTTTTGCTGACTTGGTGGAGGTGTGTGTGGCTCTGGATGTGTGCTTTCTGTGCTTTTTGAAGGCCATCAGTCTGTGCTGTTGACAGACTTGTTATGGCCTCCTGCCTCAAGCTCTTGAGGGACAAACTCCATCAGGCAAACCCACTTGGACTGCCATCGCTCTTCCTTGCAACTAATCACCAATCACAGGCCTCCCCTTGGCTGGAGAGGTACATTCTCTCCATCTGTCATCTGCTTTTTCCAAGTCTGTTCTGAAGCCTTATCTGTCCAGTACAATCTTGCTTGCAGTCGTTCACTCGCTGTGCACTTTTTAAATCACTCATTTCTTTATGTGTGTCCATTAAAAGAAAGAGTCTAGTTAAATAGAGCGAAGGGCTGAAAAAGTATGCCAATGAAAGTACACCTTGGCTTTGCTTAAGGGAAGACAAATGATTTTAATAATTCTTTAATTTATTGGTGGTTTTATTATTATTTTTTTTTAAATGTAGGATCACCAGTAGAGCCAGTAGAGCCAATACCATAATTCATTATAGAGCCAACAGAGGGCTTTAAGCTAAAGGAACAGGCTAGATTAAATTAATGAAGAGCTCTGTTTTCTAAGGATGCTCTCTCACCAACTAACAATGTTGCAGTCTGAATCGTCTTAAGCCCTAGTAGTGCTAGATTAGATTTACTATAAATGGGGACATTTCTGTGATTTTTGTCCAGTCCCAATCCTCATGAAAGTCATTTGTTATCGACTGGAAATACTATCTGAAAAGATTATTGCATATTTTACCTTCTATCGCATGACCAAGAGAAATTTTCTTTACACTTTTTCTTTAATATAAAGACATTCCTGGATGTGCTTACTCATTTTTGTCATCTCCTTCCAAAACCAAACTGAAACCATGTTTAAAACTCAGATCTATAATAAAATATAGAGTCATTTAAAAGCATTTTTAAACCCCCCAGAGGGGTTTCCTCCCCCAGTCCAAAGACATGTGTTTGGCTGATTAGTATTTCTGATTTCTAATCTGTCCATAGTGTATACATGGGTGTGTGAGTGTGTGTGCGAGTGTGCCCTGCGATGGGTTGGCACCCTATCCAGGGTGTCCCCTGCCTTGTTCCTAGAGCCCCTTGGGATAGGCTCCAGGCTCCCAGCGACCCTGGATAGGATAAGCATTACAGAAAATCAATGGATGGATACTGTATGTGTTTGGAATTCTTATCTTGTTGCAATAGTACTTCAAGACAAGATCAAGAAAAGACAATGCTTAAAGTGTATGAGAACAAGATCAGTACTGGTATTGCACTGGAAAAGAGAGTAAGGAAAAGTCATCTAGCTTAGGCTGGCAACTTCAGTCAAGATGAGCTAGTTATTTAAAGTTGGCCTAATCAAAGTGGAGTCCAAAAGTCTGAGACCACATTGAAAATCTGGGATTGTTTTTTTACAATTTTAAATTGGAAATAAACAGGTTTTAGAACTTTTAAATATTTGAAACAAAGAAACTAATGTTCAATATTTTATTTTTGGTGATTATTTTAATGTAAGCAAATGTGTTATATTGACCATGTAAACTGCTTTCTACTAAAGGTCAGATTTTCCTTATGCCTAATGTCTTCTACTGAAGCATGTGTTCAGGCAACACTCCGATGGATTTGATCTAAAATGGATCATGAAGTGTTGCACAAGCTTAATGAGTCCATGACAGCTCGAGTGCACACTGTCATTACAGCAAAAAAGGGGCGTACCAAATACTAACAAACTCTGAAATTCATGCCAATATTTCTAGGATTCTACTTTTCACTCAAGTTGTTGTCATCTGTATAATTTGTAATGAAAATTGTTGTACTCAATTAGAAAAGAATACAAAATTGAAGCATTTGCACTAGTGCTCTCAAACCTTTGGATCCCACTGTATATATAAAAATAGCTGTAGTTCAGTGACTTCTCAACAGTGACAGTCAGTGACTTGTAGTTCAGTGGTTTTCTCAACATAAAAGATCATCACTTCTGTAAAAGATCTTCCTTGCAGTTTGTCCAATTATATGAGTTTATGTAAATGGTTTAGTTGAAAGCTGCTCATAATAATAATAATAATAATAATAATAATAATAATAATAATAATAATAATAATAATAATAATAATAATAATAAATGTCAGAGAGAGGACATTTCATAGACTTTTAGAAGTTTTTCATTTTATTTAACTTCTGATTAGCAACCTGATGACATACATGGCCTGTTAAAAGAAAAAAGTTGATGACAGAACCAGAATGTTTAAAGATGACTAGACAAAGTTGTATATGTTTATTCTCTACATGTCAAATTCACATCATCAGTCCAAAGCCAAAACTGGTAACGTAAAGCACCAGTGCAGAACACAACATGGCCACAGTGGCCAAATTGTCTTATTATATAGTAAATGTTTTTCAAGCAAGCAATTGGCCAAGCAATTGGACCTTTATACATTTTAGGCTAACTGAAAAATAGCATCAACAGCCAAACAAACGCTGCCTGCAACCCATAATAAATAGTGGGTATGTTTCACTGCCTGAAGTTGGCATGAGACAGAAAGGCAGAAAAGCGTGTTCTCAATGTAATCACAATACATTCTGCTTAAAAGTGGTCTGAGACCACCTCTTGCACAAAGTGTTGGACTTGAGTGCAATTATTAAGAGGTGAAACAGACCAGGGTTCCCAGTTACCAGACTAAATACTGCATATGCTAGTGCAATGTTATTTTATTACACTGGCAACGTTTGCAAAGAGTGAACTTTTCTGTGAATTAATTATCAGCTGAGTTTCTATGCTCTGAATATTATATTAACGCTCCTCACCCTGGACATCATTATGCTAAATGTAAGCGCTTTAGTCCTCTTCAGTGCACACACACACGCGCGCACACGCACGCGCGCGCACACACGCGCACACACACACACACACACACACACACCAGAGTTTGTACAGATGCTTCATAATAAAATTCCTGGAATTTCAAGGATTTTTCAAGCACTATTTTTTTTCAAGGACTTTACAAGACCCGTCATTCAAACATATTCTTTATTTCATCTTTAAAATTCCCCCCAAATTATCATTAATTATAATATCCAAAGTGTCTTACGTATAATTTATCCAAAGCGACTTACAAATGAGAGTCGCTTTGAAATTAGCATTTCATTACACCATTGCTTCGTATTTGCCCAGTGTCAGCCATTTACATCTGTTTGCTTCTTTCATACTGTTTGTACTCACATACTGTATTTTAAAATATGTATTAAACCAAATTCCCCATAAAGATGTTCTCATTTACATATTTTTCTGTTTCTGTTGTCAGACAATGGATCGCGTGTTATGATTCGTAATTTAGAGGCAGATGCAACTGCAGAATATAAGTGAAAGATTTAATAAAGTAACAAACAAAGCACAACACAAGACTTACATGGATCAAAGACGAACATACAGTTAGGGAAAGATTACATATAATGGTGTAAGATCTATTATTTGATTCCTTAAAGCACAAGAACATCGACAATAAAGGCCATGGGTAATTGGTTTCCTCATTATCTGAATCAGTCACCATCTCCCACTCCATCATGGATAATAAGGATGAATAATCAATACTTCCGATAGGTCAATAATACATGCAACAATTATTATTATTATTATTGGTATTATTATTATTATTAATAATAATAATAATAATAACAACAATAATAATAATGATAATAAAGCAGGGCGCACAGTGGCTTGTTGGTTAGCACGTTCGCCTCACAACTGCAGGGTCCTGGGTTCAAGTCCCGACAGGGCCGTGTGTGTGTGGAGTTTGTATGTTCTCCCCGTGCTGCAGGGGCTTCCTCCGGGTACTCCGGTTTCCTCCCCAGTCCAAAAACTTGCATGGTAGGCTGATTGTGTCCGTAGTGTATGAATGGGTGTGTGAGTGTGTATGTGATTGTGCCCTGCGATGGACTCACACCCTGTCCAGGGTGTACCCTGCCTTGTGCCCAATGCTCCCCGGGATAGGCTCCCGTGACCATGAAAAGGAGTATTATTATTATCATCGTCGTCATAATTTTTTTTTTTAGCACTGATTAATTAATGAATCATTAATAATAATAAATCAGACAGGAACTTTTTCTCTTGCTGCTCCCTTAAATGACATGTTCTTGAGAAATACTATCAGACTGCTGTATTCAGAAGAGAAAAAATCCCTCATTATGCACTGATAAACTTGGTGAATTATTTCATTTTGATTGTAAGTAAATGTAAACTTTGTGTTTCCTATTAACATCAAGTGCCAGCAATATTGCCTGTATCAGAGAATAAACCCCAGTGTTAATGTATTATGGAATTATGATTTACCCACCCCATACATCACGTAACAAACAGTGGTTGGTCGCTTTACATGTCCATCAGACAGACCCTTCCTGTCCATGTGAGCTACAATGAGGCTCCTGTGAAGCAAGTGGGCACCACAGATACACAATGAAGTGCACCATTATAACGAGACCAAAAAAACCCAAAAACAGTTGGTTGCTACATCGCTAAATGAGTATACGCATTTAAAAAAGTAACTAATTACTGGAAAACCTACACTACTGAGAAATGTAGTTAAGTTAGTAGCATCGTTATTTTAGTTTGCTACTCCCCAACAGTGGATGTCGGCTATATTTACATGTAAAATAATCACTCAGAGAGAATATTAGAAGTGACAAAAAGTTTTTCTTGTCTTTCCTCTCACATTGAATGTGTTGTGCTCTCTCTCTCTCTCTCTCTCTCTCTCTCTGCCACTTACTAAACAGAGTTGGCACAGAGAGATGTGTATCTACAGCAGGTAAGCAGAACATCGCACTCGCGGGGCAGTACTGGTGACTCTCTTCTATGTAACGTAGCTAAGGTTTGTAAAAATAAATAAATAAATAAATGAATAAACAAAGCTAAAGGGGTCTGGGAAGTGGATCGGAGCCGTCTCTGCCTCAATGATTGAGTGGCTAATGGGAGGGGAGGAGAGGAGAGGGGAGGGATGAAGGGGGGAGAAAAAGAGAGGGATGAAGGGAAAATGGAAGAGGGAGAAAGAGTGGGAGGGAGGAGAGGAGAGGAGAGGGATGAAGGTAGGAGGTGGGGAAGGAAGGGGCTGCAGCATGGTCATAGTTTGAATGAAAGGATTGTATTCATGTTCTATCGAAAAATAAACACTTGAAAGTTTTAACGATTTCATATTTATAGATTTTTTTTTTAATAATTCAAGCCCTTTTTAAGTACCACTAAATAAAAAAGGCTATTTTCAAGGCTTTCCAGTACTTCAAATTTCAAAAAGCCAAATTCAAGTACTTCAAACACCTTGAACACAACCCTGACACACACACATACACACACACACCCAACTGTACCATGATTAAACCATGAATGTTTGGCTACATACCCAAACCCTCACTGCACTGCCTACTTTATGTGCACGAGTGAACCTGTAGACATTTTCTCCTCCTCCAGATTTACCCTCCTGTCTCATGTGTGTGTGTACATAAATCCCACCAGAGGACTGTTCAGTGACACTGATGCATTTTTCAGTTGTAGCCAGGAAAAAAACGAGGAAAACAAATCTTAAAAAGGAATATTTCTTCATATTTCCTCGCATAGTAGAAAGGGGGCCGAGTACACAGAAGTATGGCATTTGGATTAATGATATTGCAGAGGTGTGACTCATAACTCACTATGCCATTAGGGCCTGCTGCTGAATAGTGCAGGAGCGTATTGATCCAAGAGCTTTATGTTTTCTTTTGCCTATAATGAAGTTTAGCTCCCTATCCCTGCATACTAATGGATGCCATTTTTTTTTTTACGTTGACTGAGACATTATTATTCCACATTTTCTTCACTTGTTTGCATCTGTTCACTTATTGTTCATAACTGCTTTTCCAATTCAACTATCATGGATGCCATGCCTCCATTACAGGGACTCATACAGTTAGTATGAGAAACATCTGCTAAGGATAAGATGTACATTGTGAAAAAATTGTGTCTAGGGTTTTGGCTAAATCTATATCTGTTTAGTGCTCCGAATAACTATATCTGTATCAGAATTTAAACATGATGAGGGTGTGGTCTAAAACACAAGATTTATTTTTTATTTTTTTGCATTCAATATGCGCAATATGAATTAAATATGAATCATTCCATTATATTCCCAGAAATCCAGAGTTTAAAAAAATAGTATGAACCTTGGCTCTGACAGTTCCTCAACCTCAGCTACATCATATCATTAGGGACACTTAAAAAAAAGAAAAGTTATCGCACAGTAAGCCAGAGCAGGCAGTTACTAAGAACTGATACACATTCATGTTAATGAACATGGTCATTATTGAGATTCATTCTGGATTCATTCAACTCGCTTGCTCCAGCAGGAAACTAACCAAATAAACCTCCCACTCATGTGACCCAGTCCCACTACAAACCTCTAATCTCAACCAGATGCCCTGTGAAACTCTCTGGCAAGTTTTCTAAAAACAAGAAAAAATTATTCCACCTTCTATTCATCCATCCATCCATCCATCCATCTATCCATCCATCCATGTTCTATCACTTACTCCTTCTTCAGGGTCGCAGGGGGAACCTGGAGCCTATCCCAGGAAGCATCAGGCACAAGGCGGGGTACACCCTGGACAGGGTGCCAGCCCATCGCAGGGCACAATCACATACACACTCACACTCCTTCTATTCATATCTGTAGTAATATCTCCTCAGAAGACATTCTAAAATAATGTATTCATATTCATTTGCATCCCTAGTGTCAACACATTTGGACTACCATAATTCTTTGTTTGCTTTCCTTTGACAAAGAGCTCTGGCTCATCTTTTGTTAGTCCAGAACACAGCAGGTCATATTCAAACAAAGACCATGCACAGCGAGAGAACGTCACTCCCATCCTTTAGTGGTTGCGAGTGAATTTTTGGATGTATTTGAAATTTCTTATGCTCACATACCAAGCATATTACCTTGAGAAGTTCCTGAATAGATTTCTGAATTGCTATCTCTTTGTACATTGTCTGCCTACTCTTAGGTGTTATAACAAAAGAGCGCTGGCTATTCCAAGGAGTAAGCTAAAGTGAAAAGGGCGACTGTTCATTTGCTGTCTGTGTCTCTGTGCTCTGAGACAGCCTCCTCTGCATGATGTTGGGTTTTCAGACACAATGAGCATTAAAAACACCTTAGAAAACCTTTATTTATTTATTTTTACAGTTTTCAGTATTAGCTTTGTATATTGTTTTATATGTTGTGAGAAGTCTTATGGAAGATCGTGATGCACATTGTAACTTAGAAAAGTGCTATAACAATTAAAAAAGAACCACAAGACCCTGCACGAACTCCTGCATGAAGTTTAGAACCTAAGAATATTAGGATATAGGGGACAAGTGCACAGCCCACTTCATGTCATTCCACAGTATTTTATTTAATTTTACTTTATTTATATATATATATATATATATATATATATATATATATATATATATATATATATATATATATATATATATATATATATATATATATATGATTTAGATCTGGGCTCTGACTGGGCCTTTTCAAAATACTGATTGTCTTCTTCTGAAGTAATTCCTTTGTTGACTTGGATTTGTGTACGTATACAATAAAGAATTAGCAGTTGTCTGTGTTTTAATAGGTAGAGTTAGAAGTTATTGATATGTTACAGCCTCTGGATAATATACAGAGCAGAGAGGGTGAGATTTTATTTAATTTAGGATAAGTGAAGTTAATTAACTTACACAGGTGTTGAGGTGTTAAAAAGTGTGAAAAGCCGTCAATCATTATTTAATTGTGATACTGTTTGTTCTGTCTTTAAGAGTCCTTCCACACTTGAAATGATATTTCATGGTTGCTCATGTAATAGATCTGTTTTGATTGTGTTCTGCTGCACTGAATAAAATGTCCCTTTAGCAACATAATTTACTGTTTACCAAAAAAAACCTTGTGCATTAAGTATGGAATATAACAGAGCAGGATGTGTTGAAATAATCCACCTGAAATTGAAAATAATCCACCCCAGAACTGTTTTATTCATATTACAGCAATTTGCCAATGATTACAATTTGTTTTGCCCTTACTAATGAACAATGAACACATTGTGCTTTTGAAGCATTTATTGTTACATTTAATGTTGTTTAACATCTTCAACAGAACACTCTAAAAAGTAATTCAGGGAACCTATTACCACCACTTAATTAAATGTGTGGTTGCACAATAAAAATTCGAATTTATTGATTTAATAAAATATTTTAAGTCGCAAACATTATTTGGATGAGTTGTGTTGACATAATAATGTTGAGAATTACGTTAATTTAATATTGTGTGTAATTTAAACTGAAATATTTGCATTAATTGATTTAAAACAAAAATTTAAGTTGTAGTGACTTAATGAATGTCACGTATCCGGAAACTCGGGACTCCATGTCCCATCAGCCACTGCACTACACCACCTGACCACATGCACCTGACTCACGTTTTTGTTAATGAGCACCCATGTGTATATATAGTCTTTGTCTGCACTCTTTCGGGGTCTTTCGTTGTTATAGACTCACGTCACTTCTGTCTCTGTGTTTTGTTTCTTGCCACAGTGTTGTGCCCAGTTGTCCTAGTGTTTTTGTTTCGTTGTTCGTGTGTTTAAAATAAATGTTTAAAAAATCTGCGATTGCTTCTGCCTCAACTCGCCAAACGTGACAATGAAATTGGCTTGATAACTTAATTTCTCTCCACCTTCAGTTCAGGATTTCAAGACCCCTCCCATACCCACTTAAC